TTTCTTCTTGTTTTTAAGCATGATTAATTACTTCATAAGGAAATGTATCAGACGCATGTAAAGAAAAATGACGTCATGCGTTCAACGCGTACGCTGCGCGAACAAATACAGCTGAGAATTATCATTGCGGTGTAACTTTTTTGATATTGTTATGCAATACAACTAATTAATGAACTTGAATCGAGAAATATGCCATAAGGAACAAAAAGCAACTATATATATTTTTTATGTAAATTTAGAAATCTACGGAAATTCCATCATAAATTATTTCGTATAGGCTACAAGAAGTTCTGCAAAGCTATACAATTTTATTACCCACACTATGAGTACTATGAGTGATATGTATTTTATTTCACCTATTAAAACCCAGAATTTCACTTGTAAGCAAAAATTATTGCAGCAATTTGACAGAGTATATGCTAAATAACTGTGCGAAATATTGACAAATTAAAATATACGGTTCATAAATGAAAATTGGTCAATTATATTAGCGTGCAGAAAAAGTCATGTTTGAAACGTTAGCTCGGTGGGTGTTGGATTAAAGAGGTAGCACGTTCGATACACATGTAAATAAACATCTTTAATACATTTTCTCACGTTTTGCTTATCATTTTAGAATATCATAATGTAAATTAAAAAAAAAATTGAGGATTCACCAAAAATTCTATATTAAAAACATTAGTATCAAATCGGCCTTTGCTCATTGTACGTATAGCCAAATTTATGGTAGAATTTATTTTGAACAGAAAAAAATACTTTAAACATAAAATATAATGAAACGCTGTAAATAGACGTCTGCAGATGTTTAGTAGAACATATATAGCGAACCAGGCTGTCCTGAGCTAGATATTGCACAAAGGAGTGTTGTGTTGTAAATCTTTATACAAATAAAGATATTTCAATATATCTTGTCATTTTTGTCTGTACATGCTACGGACACTGTCGAGGATCTGTCGGGGTGTTATATATTCTGTTCACTGACCATTTAATCAGTATGCAATTGACATGTTAATAAAACCGGAAAATTTACATTTAATTAAAGTTTTACTATTGAATGTTATTCTGACAAATGTCAGATCAGACTATTATTTTTTCCTCTGGTAGAAAGTGGGTAATTCTGAATTACATCTTTATTCTCTGTTTTATATACAAAATCGGTATTTACAAGAATAAAAGATTTCATATTTTGGTAATATCTGACCTTGTAATAATAAAAAAATCCGTATTTTAATAAAATTAAATACGGACTTCATATAAATTTCCGTATTATTACGAGTGTACGGATCACGGTATATTAATCATTAACGTATTGCATGATATACGGTCCCTACATCTACCTGTTCAAATTTCACTTGTCTTACCTGTCTATCTATAATATACGGATTTCATACCCTTTATTGTATCCATATAGTTGGTCATAATTGCGTAAAATGCCGTTTATAGCGGGATTTGGACACAGGGCGACCTTTTTAATGACAAATAAAATACCGAACGCCCCGTGATAGCGTGACTTTTATCCAAAGGGGTGGGGAAATAAAATCACGTGTACCAAAAAAATTGAGTCGGTGACCCCCTATTTTTTAGTCATTTCGACTAAGTATACATTTTAAAGGACGTTTAAAGAAAAAAAAAACAAAAATTTATTTCAGGAATTTTTAAATAAGCCGCTTTAAAGCCGAATGAATTCTGTGCATAATATATTACAGCTTTGGAAAATTACTTCAAATTTAATTTCTAATGTGCATTAATATCGGTTTAAAAATGATATTGAAATATAAAATAGCATTTTTCTGGTAATATACATGCATGAAATTCATTGTCAATTGTTTTTCTGTTAACTGGTAAAATATAAACTATTCCGAATGGACCTTACGGTCGCGTCACTCTATTATAATCCTAATCGAGCTGTAACATTGGACCTGACCGTCGTGCCACTCTATTATCATCCTAATTGAGCTGTAACATTGGGCCTGGCCGTGGCGTCACTATTATTATCCTTATCGAACTGTAACATTGGGGATGGCCTTGGCGTCACTATTACTATCCTAATCGAGATTTAGCATTGGACCTAAACATCGCGCTACTCTTTTATCATCCTTATTAAGCGGTAACATTTGGCCTGGCAGTGGCGTCACTCTTTTATCCTAATCGAGCTGTAGCATTTGACCTGACCGTCGCATCACTCTTTTATCATCTTAATCGAGCTGTAACATTGGACTTGACAGTATTGTCACTCTTTTATCATCCTAGTTGAGCTGTAACATTGGACCTGAACGTCGCGTCACTCTATTATAATCCTAATTGAGCTGTAACAGTGGACCTGGCCGTGGCGTCACTTTATTATTATCCTTATCGACCTGTAACATTGGACCTGACTGTCGTGTCACTCTATTATCCTTATCGAGCTGTAAATTTGGATCTGACCGTCGTGTCACTCTATTATTATCCAAACCGAGCTGTTACATTGGACCTGACCGTCGCGTCACTCTATTATAATCCTTATCGAGCTGTAACATTGGATCTGACCGTTGCGTCACTCTATTATAATCCTAATCGAGCTGTAACATTGGACCTGACTGTCGTGTCACTCTATTATCCTTATCGAGCTGTAACATTGGATCTGACCGTCGTGTCACTCTTTTATTATCCTTATCGAGCTGTAACATTGGACCTGACCGTCGTGTCACTCTATTATTATCCTTATCGAGCTGTAACATTGGATCTGACCGTCGTGTCACTCTATTATTATCCTTATCGAGCTGAAACAGTGGACCTTGCCGTCGCGTCACTCTATTATTATCTTAATGGAGCTGTAACATTGAACTTGACGTCGTGTCACTCTATTATTATATTTATCGAGCTGAAACAGTGGACCTGGCCGTGGCCTCACCCTATTATTATCCTTATCGAGCTGTGACATTGAACTTGTCCGTCGAGTAACTCTATTATAATCCTAGTCGAGATGTAACAGTGGACCTGACCGTTGCGTCACTCTATTATTATCCTAATTGAGCTGTAACATTGGATCTAACCGTCGCGTCACTCTTTTATTATCCTAATCGAGCTGTAACAGTGAACCTGACCGTCGCGCCACTCTATTATAATCCTTATGGAGCTGTAACAGTGAACCTGACCGTCGCGTCACTCTATTATAATCCTTATGGAGATGTAACATTTGACCTGACCGTAGTATCACTTGTAGCAGAAGCGCTCATTTACATTTAGAAAAAGAAAAGGGGGACAACCAGCTGTCAGAATTTAGTTCTTATTTGTAACTCTAGTTTTCTCCCCTGAATTAGAAGCACAGTGCAGCAACAATTTTAAAAAATACAACAGAATGGCTAAAATTCTTATAGGAATTATAATTCCCCTATTATCAAACATCAATAATTTACAGTGGCGGAAAAGACGTTTTATGTTTCATACATGTATATGACCATGTCGAATTAATATGCAAAACATATTTGAATTAGGTGTTTTAAATAAAATATAGCCATGACTTGTACATGAAAAATAGACTCACATAACCTCAAGTATCTTTGGTTACGGTGTCTATTTCCCTGCCCAGGAATCATAGGTGCGAGCCCTACTTGGGCTTAGACTATATTGAAACATGATACCGGTACTGGTTAGTTCAAAGAAGAGGAATTTTGATAGATAAGTTGTTGAAACGTGTTTCACAACTTAGCTGAAATAGATATTTAAAACTTAATTAGTTGTATCGAACCTGGCCAGACTACACAAATGAGTGAGGAGGCAGATCAGACTTGCACCGGTGGCATTATGAGAGACCTGTTTGTTAATAATATTCGTACAGTTAAAAGGCTTCGTGTAAAATAATTGAAGTTAAGTTAAGACATTAAGAGGTCAAACCCGTTGAGGTTTTGTTTTTTGTACTTGTCACTTATATTACAATTTGACTATATAGTTTATGAAGCAAACTTAATTAAAACGTGAGCACTTGCATCGTAACAACCAAACATATAAAGCATTATAACAGCTAAATTATTAGGGGAGTCTGAGTGATTGATTTCAAGTCACTGGGTTTGGATTTCGACAGGAACTTTGGATTATTTCATGTGTTAAAGCTATCCAGCTTGTTTACGTAACTTCGATGGTTCTACTGAGGTTCCCGTTCGCGCCTGAAATTATACAAGGAAGGGTACCTGAGGTCTCCCTACACCGGTAAAGCTGGAAAGTCGTCATATGACCAAGTATACTGTTTCGGGGCGACGTAAAATACCAACAACCAGAGGCAGCTTGCTTTGGTTGAGTAGAGTTGGTTTGTTGGCTGAGTATATTTTCTTTATACAGTATTTTGTTTGTTCTTTCGTTTACAAATAATCGCCAGTTTGATAGTTTATTCGGTAATTCATTCGTTCGCTTATGCGGTTGTTTGTTCGCTCTGTCTTTCTTAAATGGTAAGATTGGGTTAACAAATAAATTCATGTTTTTCTTTAATGTAACGAACAATGAATAAAAAATGCAAAAAAGTTTCGTAAAAACTTCTAAGATTAATTCGTAAAATCAAGATAAACCTATTCACTGCTAGCATGTTTAAATTGTTACCCCAGTTTTTGACGCGTGCGTGTTTAATTCTCCACGCATTATGATTTTGTTTAATGGACCGAGTACAGTATACACTATACAGCATTGACGAGGTATAAAGTCAAAATTTGGGACATTAAACAGAATATAACGTAGATAGAGTCATGACTTCTTTTCTCTATTTTTATCTCCTTTTTGTCTTTTTGCTCATGTTTCCATTTAAATAAGCAAATATTACGATGACTGATTTAAGAATGTACAAGGTCATCAGACTGCTTGAAAATCAGAGCTATTTAAACCCGGTCGACATTTTATTAGATTTTATTCTGCATGCGACCATCTCTAGTTAATTTCTATATTTAATGCAAGTCTAAAGCGGCAGCAAACCACTAATTTTTTAGGAAATTGAATTGCCTCCTAAATTATTTAACAAGGGTACAGCCGAATTTAAAATGGTGATGACAGAATCTATAAAAGAGACACTGATAACATGGAACAGCGCTGTAGAATTCCATAACTCAGGAAATTACAATGAAGCAATAGAAAAGTATCATAAAATACAAATACTGTCGGCAAGAATGCGATATAACATGGCATGTGCTGAAATCAAACTAGACAACAAACTTGCAGCTATCGAGGTAAGTTTTTTTTATAATTTTTATTGCTGTATGTTACAGATTTGTATAAAATACATAGATATACAAGCTTAAAAATATGCAAGTGTTCGAAAGGTAAAGTCAACGATGATGGTTTATTATTGAATCTTAATCCTTACCTAGCAAAATCTCTAAAACGAACTTGTCGATCTTTCTATCTGGACACAACCATTTGTCAAATTTAGGGAGAAATTCAAAATATGTACAGGCTGAATAGGAAATAATGTAAAACACGATCAGACGGAACTGGTCACGTGGGTAGATTCATTTATTCATTTTAATTCTTTAAGGCATGCTTTCTGTAAATTGAAATAATTGTTTTCGAAAGTATGCATTTGGCAAGCAGGTTTATCATAATGAGAGTATTTTTTTTCCGGCAAGAAAAACATTCTCATACCGTTGTTAAGTATTTTTCAAATTTCTTTTTCTTTCTATTTGGTAATTAAACCTTGACAGCGTGTATTTTATATACGCAGTCAAACTGAGCGCTTCCAGCGATCTGTGAATAAAAGACTATTAAATGGACGATGGGTGGAATGTTTTAATTATTATAAGGTTGAAGAAAACTCCTTTCTAAAACTGATAATAAGTATGTCACCTGAACAAATATTGTGTTTTCATTTCGTGATATATATGACATAACCTTTTTTCTTAAAAAAATGAAAAAAATTCAATTGTATATACACGAAACTAATGGCTAAGTAAATATTTGCTTTAAAATGTTTTTACTCTAAAATGTTCAAACTAGCAAAGAAAAAAACACAATGTTTCACACAAAACTTGAAATAATTATAAGTTTTTGAAAAATTAAATAAATAAACTATTTAAAAAGGTTCATATAATAGAAGTCGTGTTTAAAAGTCACTGAAGCTAGTGTATATAGAAATAAGGAATTTTTTCACCGCGCCTATTGCATTCATATTGTTAATATTCATTTATTTACAATAAATAAACATTCTTTATTTCGAAACACGTGTATACAAAATTCTAGACCGGGGAGTATTGCAAGGAAAGCAGAAAACAAATAGTTGAAAATTGCAGACATACTGCAAACATTGTCGGATAGAGTATGTTTATGAGAGATAATTAATATTGCCACAGTTTTCACCTCCCATCCCCTGCACCGAATCGAGTTATATTAAAAGAAATACAGCATATTGTTCAATACTGAATTAATTGAACGAGTTGAATACACTTATACTATGCGAGCCTCTGTTGAGTTCAATAAATTCAGTAATGGATTTACACGAATATAATTATATTCCTTCATATACCTAAATTAAAGACTTTTCGCTTCGTTTGTATAACGCAAATGACGTCACGTCAGAATATTTACACCATTTTTACGGCATCAATGATATAGAATAATATAACGAGCCAGATTCTCTTGTTTTCAACTTTTTTATGACACTGACGAAAGGACGGAATAAAAAAAGTGATTAAAATTTTTCACGGTAGATCTTATAGATAATAAGACATAAATATCTAGACAGAAAAAAGCATGGTTAGATCTATTATAAACTTAGGCGAGCAAATGTATCTTATTATGTAAATAACGTCACAGTTGACGTTGTTATTGCGTTTTGGAATACCTCTAGATCTACCATAAGTTATTTTTGTTTCCTTGCATAAGTCACATGATTGTGTTGTGAGAAGTAGCGATGACGTTGTTTCAGGGGAAGAAACTCCGCACAACCATCTTTTATACATATATATACATTTTACGTTTTTGTTCTTACAGAATCTGACGATGGCCATCGAGCAAGACAGATATTTAGCTGTAGCATTCTTTCTACGGGGAACCTTGTACCTACAACGTAACAGGTTAATATTTGATTTTATTCAAGTGACGTCAAGTTTAAAGTTTCCCAAAAGTTACTTATTGGCCAATTATGTACTACTTTGTTTACATTTCGCTACTTTTCTGACAAGGAATTGTCAAATCTTAAGGTCACAAGCACCTAACATTCATATTTAAGTTCCCAAAAGTAACTCATTTGTCAATTACCTGAAATGATAAAAAATTCAAGTCACAACTTCTGGCATCTAAGGTGCTCTAAAAACCATAATTTTAACGTTATCAAATTCAGGCTTGCCCTTTCTAATGAAGTAAAAAATATCATTTCTTAGGTATAACGTGCCCTTAACAAAACTAGGTCAGAAAACATATACATTTACATTATCATAATTATTTTATATATATATATATATATTCCAGCATCGAGAATTCTATAACTGACCTTGAGATGACACGTGCATTGTTACGAGGAAACAAGTGTATAGACTATAAACCACTAGGTCTTCTTATTAGACTTAACAGCTTTCAGGTAGGAAGATTTACACGTGATTTAAAACCTTCAAGG